AACAACCCAGAGCCCAGTCCTACTGATGGTATCATAGGCCTTGACCAGGTCAATAAAGCAGAGATGTAGGTCTTTTTGGAATTCCCTACACCTCTGCTGTAGCAGACGGACAGAAAATATGGCATCTGTGCAGGACCGCCCTTTCCTGAAACCGCATTGGGGCTTCCGCAAGCCTCTCCTCAGCGTGCCTAGCAAGGCGATGTTGAATAATCCTTGCCAGGACCTTACCCGGCACACTGAGGAGTGAGATGCCCCTGTAGTTGTTACAGTCGGTACGGTCCCCCTTCTTAAAGAGGGGGACCCACCAGGGCATCCTTCCAGTCCTGCGGAACCCGTCCAATGGTCCAGACCGTTGTTATGTTGTCATGTAGGGCAGTCTGTGCACAAACGCCACCCTCCCTCAGCATTTCGCTTGGGAGATCATCTCTGCCCGGTGCCTTTCCTGGTCTCAGACTCCGGATCGCCTTCAGTACTTCCTCAACAGATGGCACCTCAGCCAGCCACTCACAGGGGGTGGCTACTTCTGCCAATATTTGAGGCACCGCAGCCTCAGCAGGGTTATCACCACTTTGTGCCATGATGTTTTCCTGGCTGAGAGCATTTCCCTCCCCCAGGACCTCACAGAAATGCTCAGCAAATCTGCAAACCTGTTCCTGGGGGTCGGAGATTGGATCACCGTTTTTTCCTCTAATGATGGTAATAGGTGTGGCGCTGCAGGTTACTTTTTTGATGGAGTTAAATAGTGATTTGTGATCACGGGCCACTGAGGCAGACTCCATCTCCTCAGCAACCCGCGACCACCACCCATCCTTACAGCGCCTGACGGCTCTCCGAACTTCCGAGCGAAGGCTGCGGTAAACCTCCTCATTCTCTGACGTGGGATGCTGTAGGCGATGAGAGTGGGCCTGACGCTTTTTCTCAATTAACCTAAACACCTCCTCTGTCAGCCAGGGTTTCTGGGGAGGTCTGGACCGCGTACCCAAAGCAGCCATTGCAGCTGCATGAGTCACAGTCTTAAACCTCGCCCATTTCCCCTCGACATCAGGTGGAGTGGGGGACGATGCCAACCCAGCTGCAAGCGATGAAATTCTCGCTTGCAACTTTCATCAGCTAACTGAGACCAGGCCACTTTTGGTTGGAATGGATCCTGGGTGTACACCCACCACCGGAGTGGAAGAAAGGCAGGCGCATCTTACAGATGACTAGTCGATGGTCAGAGGACAGATCAGCTCCACGGTAGGTCCTGGACATAGACACACACACAGAGACACACACACACACAGAGACACACAGACACACGCACAGAGACACACAGACACACACACGCAGTGACACAGACACACACACACAGTGACACACACACAGAGACACACACACAGAGACATAGACACACACACAGAGACACACACACAGAGACATAGACACACACACAGAGACACACACACAGAGACATAGACACACACACAGAGACACACACACAGAGACATGGACACACAGAGACACAGACACACACATAGACACACACACAGAGACACACGCAGAGACACACACACACACAGAGACACACACACAGAGACAGACACACACAGAGAGACACACACAGACACACACGCAGAGACACACAGAGACACACATGCAGAGACACAGACACACACACAGAGACATAGACACACACACAGACACACACACAGAGACACAGACACACACAGAGACGACATGGACACACACGTAGACATGCAGAGACACACACACACAGAGACATGGACACACACGCAGAGACACGTAGAGACACACAGAGACATGCACGCAGAGACACAAAGACACGCAGAGACATAGACACAGACACACCGTTACAGACACAGACACACGCAGAGACACAGACACGCACAGAGACTGGCAGTTGATGCTGCAGCTGCTGCATAGAGTTGTGTCTCTCTTGTCTTTCTGTTGTCGAGTGGATTTTCTTTCCGGGCCCTCTGGTTTTCCCCTCCACATTTGAGAGACGTGAGTTGCTAGAGTCTTTGCCAACTGCTATAAAGGTTCACGTGATGATGATGATGAACCTCATTGGTAGAACTATCATCGGTAATGCCCAGGTCAGGGCCTTCGAAAAGAGAGCTTACACACACAGCATCTCAATGAGGCCCTTGCCCGCTAAAATAAAACGCGGTCTAGTTTCTAGTTCAAGTCTCGTGCACAACAACAACAACATCATCACGATGCGCCCACCTGCTCAGAGCAGTTCCAGCCCAGGTAAGTGAACTTGCCACCTTTATTACCATCACCAGCACCACCACCAGCAGCAGCACCACCAGCACCAGCAGCAGCACCACCAGCAGCACCACCAGCAGCAGCACAATGTCTCCCCCAGCAAACAACAAAACAGCTGGGCAGGCAGCGTCACTCACTCACGGGGGCAGGCAGCCAGGCAGCGAGAGACGAGGCCACGTCTCCAACGCTGGGACACGTGGCGACGACAAACAGAACCGCGATGGGCAAAGCGACCACCCCCCCCCCCCCCCCGAGTCGAACGGACGACGCTTTTCTGTCGATTCTCTCGGATAGTTCTGGAAAATATGTCATGGACCTGCCCTCAACAACGCACGCTCACACTCACCACCACCCTCACCACCCTCACCACCACCACCCTCACCACCCTCACCACCACCACCCTCACCACCACCCACCCACCACCACCCACCACCCTCACCACCACCCTCACCACCACCACCCACCACCACCCACCCACCACCACCCACCACCACCACCCTCACCACTCTGTGTGGTGAGTCTGTGGGTCTCTGTGTGGTGAGTCTGTGGGTCTCTGTGTGGTGAGTCTGTGGGTCTCTGTGTGGTGAGTCTGTGGGTCTCTGTGTGGTGAGTCTGTGGGTCTCTGTGTGGTGAGTCTATGGGTCTCTGTGTGGTGAGTCTGTGGTCTCTGTGTGGTGAGTCTGTGGGTCTCTGTGATGAGTCTGTGGGTCTCTGTGTGTGAGTCTATGGGTCTCTGTGTGGTGCGTCTATGGGTCTCTGTGTGGTGAGTCTATGGGTCTCTGTGTGGTGAGTCCTATGGGTCTCTGTGTGGTGAGTCTATGGGTCTCTGTGTGGTGAGTCTGTGGGTCTCTATGATGAGTCTGTGGGTCTCTATGATGAGTCTGTGGGTCTCTGTGTGGTGAGTCTGTGGGTCTCTGTGTGGGAGTCTGTGGGTCTCTGTGTGGTGAGTCTGTGGGTCTCTGTGTGGTGAGGTCTGTGGGTCGGGTGAGTCTATGGGTCTCTGTGTGGTGAGTCTATGGGTCTCTGTGTGGTGAGTCTGTGGGTCTCTGTGTGGTGAGTCTGTGGGTCTCTGTGTGGTGAGTCTGTGGGTCTCTGTGTGGTGAGTCTGTGGGTCTCTGTGTGGTGAGTCTGTGGGTCTCTGTATGGTGAGTCTGTGGGTCTCTGCTGTGTGAGTCTGTGGGTCTCTGTGTGGTGAGTCTGTGGGTCTCTGTGTGGTGAGTCTGTGGGTCTCTGTGTGGTGAGTCTGTGGGTCTCTGAGTGGTGAGTCTGTGGGTCTATGAGTGGTGAGTCTGTGGGTCTCTGAGTGGTGAGTCTATGGGTCTCTGTGTGGTGAGTCTATGGGTCTGTGTGTAGTGAGTCTGTGGGTCTCTGTGTGGTGAGTCTGTGGGTCTCTGTGTGGTGACTCTGTGGGTCTCTGTGTGGTGAGTCTGTGGGTCTCTGTGTGGGTGAGTCTGTGGGTCTCTGTGTGGTGAGTCTGTGGGTCTCTGTGTGGTGAGTCTGTGGGTCTCTGTGTGGTGAGTCTGTGGGTCTCTGTGTGGTGAGTCTGTGGGTCTCTGAGTGGTGAGTCTGTGGGTCTCTGAGTGGTGAGTCTGTGGGTCTCTGAGTGGTGAGTCTGTGGGTCTCTGAGTGGTGAGTCTATGGGTCTCTGTGTGGTGAGTCTATGGGTCTGTGTGTAGTGAGTCTGTGGGTCTCTGTGTGGTGAGTCTGTGGGTCTCTGTGTGGTGACTCTGTGGGTCTCTGTGTGGTGAGTCTGTGGGTCTCTGAGTGGTGAGTCTGTGGGTCTCTGAGTGGTGAGTCTGTGGGTCTCTGTGTGGTGAGTCTGTGGGTCTCTGTGTGGTGAGTCTATGGGTCTCTGAGTGGTGAGTCTGTGGGTCTCTGTGTGAGTGAGTCTATAGGTCTGTGTGAGTGAGTCTATGGGTCTCTGTGTGAGTGAGTCTATGGGTCTCTGTGTGAGTGAGTCTATGGGTCTCTGTGTGAGTGAGTCTATGGTCTCTGTGTGAGTGAGTCTATGGGTCTCTGTGTGATGAGTCTGTGGGTCTCTGTGTGGTGGGTCTATGGGTCTCTGTGTGGTGAGTCTATGGGTCTCTGTGTGTGAGTCTAAGGGTCTCTGTGTGGTGAGTCTACGGGTCTCTGAGTGGTGAGTCTGTGGGTCGCTGTGTGGTGAGTCTGTGGGTCTCTGTGTGGTGAGTCTGTGGATCTCTGTGTGGGTCTCTGTGTGATAAGTCTGTGGTTCTCTGTGTGGTGAGTCTGTGGGTCTCTGTGTGGTGAGTCTATGGGTGTCTGTGTGGTGAGTCTGTGGGTCCTCTGTGTGGCTCTCTGTGTGATGAGTCTGTGGGTCTCTGTGTGATGGGTCTCTGTGTGGTGAGTCTGTGGGTCTCTGGTGATGGGTCTCTGTGTGGTGAGTCTATGGGTCTGTGTGTAGTGAGTCTGTGGGTCTCTGTGTGGTGAGTCTGTGGGTCTCTGTGTGGTGACTCCGTGGGTCTCTGTGTGGTGAGTCTGTGGGTCTCTGAGTGGTGAGTCTGTGGGTCTCTGAGTGGTGAGTCTGTGGGTCTCTGTGTGGTGAGTCTGTGGGTCTCTGTGTGGTGAGTCTGTGGGTCTCTGAGTGGTGAATCTGTGGGGTCTCTGAGTGGTGAGTCTATGGGTCTCTGTGTGGTGAGTCTGTGGGTCTCTGTGTGGTGAGTCTGTGGGTCTCTGAGTGGTGAGTCTGTGGGTCTCTGAGTGGTGAGTCTATGGGTCTCTGTGTGGTGAGTCTGTGGGTCTCTGAGTGGTGAGTCTGTGGGTCTCTGAGTGGTGAGTCTATGGGTCTCTGTGTGGTGAGTCTGTGGGTCTCTGTGTGGTGAGTCTGTGGGTCTCTGTGTGGTGACTCTGTGGGTCTCTGTGTGGCGAGTCTTTGGGTCTCTGTGTGAGTACCGGACATCACACAACTAAAAGCTTCAATATAAAGTCGGGGTGAGGGGGGTGGGTGGTAAATAACTTTTCACCATCAATATAACAACAGCAACAAGGACGGTACTACTACAGTGGCCGCTTTGCCCACAAACACACAAACTTCCGACTCCGACTCTTGACACCTCATCCTCCACCTCTTCTCCTCTTACACCTCCGTCTCCGCGTGCCGCTCTGTCATCCGCGCCGTGGCGGCCTCCTCGTCGCTGGAGGGAGCGGAGAAAGTAGGCGAGGGTGATGCGCACGTACCGGGCAGCGCGTGAGAGTTGCACGCACAGTGGAACTTATTCGCGCCCGTTTCGTAGACTAAACATTTCTAATTCGGAAGACGTCACGCGACCACCGAATAAACATCGGCGGGCGTCGTCAAGGGTGGGGATCGAACCCACGACCTCCTGCGTGCCAGGCGAGGTGGTCAACATCTCTCAGTGTCTGGCATTGAACCCACGACCTCCTGCGTGCCAGGCGAGGTGGTCAACATCTCTCAGTGTCTGGCATTGAACCCACGACCTCCTGCGTGCCAGGCGAGGTGGTCAACATATCTCAGTGTCTGGGATTGAACCCACGACCTCCTGCGTGCCAGGCGAGGTAGTCACATCTCTCAGTGTCTGGCATTGAACCCACGACCTCCTGCGTGCCAGGCGAGGTGGTCAACATATCTCAGTGTCTGGGATTGAACCCACGACCTCCTGCGTGCCAGGCGAGGTGGTCAACATCTCTCAATGTCTGGCATTGAACCAACGACCTCCTGCGTGCCAGGCGAGGTGGTCAACATCTCTCAGTGTCTGGGATTGAACCCACGACCTCCTGCGTGCCAGGCGAGGTAGTCAACATCTCTCAGTGTCTGGGATTGAACCCACAAACCTCCTGCGTGTCAGGCGAGGTGGTCAACATCTCTCAGTGTCTGGCATTGAACCCACGACCTCCTGCGTGCCAGGCGAGGTGGTCAACATCTCTCAATGTCTGGCATTGAACCAACGACCTCCTGCGTGCCAGGCGAGGTGGTCAACATCTCTCAGTGTCTGGGATTGAACCCACGACCTCCTTCGTGCCAGGCGAGGTAGTCAACATCTCTCAGTGTCTGGGATTGAACCCACGACCTCCTGCGTGTCAGGCGAGGTGGTCAACATCTCCCAGTGTCTGGGATTGAACCCACGACCTCCTGCGTACCAGGCGAGCTGGTCAACATCTCTCAGTGTCTGGGATTGAACCCACGACCTCCTGCGTGCCAGGCGAGGTAGTCAACATCTCTCAGTGTCTGGGATTGAACCCACGACCTCCTGCGTACCAGGCGAGCTGGTCAATATCTCTCAGTGTCTGGCATTGAACCCACGACCTCCTGCGTGTCAGGCGAGGTGGTCAACATCTCTCAGTGTCTGGCATTGAACCCACGACCTCCTGCGTACCAGGCGAGCTGGTCAATATCTCTCAGTGTCTGGCATTGAACCCACGACCTCCTGCGTGTCAGGCGAGGTGGTCAACATCTCTCAGTGTCTGGCATTGAACCCACGACCTCCTGCGCGCCAGGCGAGGTGGTCAACATCTCTCAATGTCTGGCATTGAACCAACGACCTCCTGCGTGCCAGGCGAGGTGGTCAACATCTCTCAGTGTCTGGGATTGAACCCACGACCTCCTGCGTGCCAGGCGAGGTAGTCAACATCTCTCAGTGTCTGGGATTGAACCCACGACCTCCTGCGTGTCAGGCGAGGTGGTCAACATCTCCCAGTGTCTGGGATTGAACCCACGACCTCCTGCGTACCAGGCGAGCTGGTCAACATCTCTCAGTGTCTGGGATTGAACCCACAACCTCCTGCGTGCCAGGCGAGGTGGTTCAACATCTCCCAGTGTCTGGGATTGAACCCACGACCTCCTGCGTGCCAGGCGAGGTAGTCAACATCTCTCAGTGTCTGGGATTGAACCCACGACCTTCCTGCGTGCCAGGCGAGCTGGTCAACATCTCTCAGTGTCTGGATTGAACCCACGACCTCCTGCGTGCCAGGCGAGGTGGTCAACATCTCCCAGTGTCTGGGATTGAACCCACGACCTCCTGCGTGCCAGGCGAGGTAGTCAACATCTCTCAGTGTCTGGGATTGAACCACGACCTCCTGCGTGCCAGGCGAGGTGGTCAACATCTCTCAGTGTCTGGGATTGAACCCACGACCTCCTGCGTACCAGGCGAGGTGGTCAACATCTCTCAGTGTCTTGGAGTGAACCCACGACCTCCTGCGTCCAGGCGAGGTAGTCAACATCTCTCAGTGTCTGGGATTGAACCCACGACCTCCTGCGTGCCAGGCGAGGTGGTCAACATCTCTCAGTGTCTGAGATTGAACCCACGACCTCCTGCGTGCCAGGCGAGGTGGTCAACATCTCTCAGTGTCTGGGATTGAACCCACGACCTCCTGCGTACCAGGCGAGGTGGTCAACATCTCTCAGTTTCTGGGATTGAACCCACGACCTCCTGCGTGCCAGGCGAGGTGGTCAACATCTCTCAGTGTTTGGGATTGAACCCACGACCTCCTGCGTGCCAGGCGAGGTGGTCAACATCTCTCAGTTTCTGGGATTGAACCACGACCTCCTGCGTACCAGGCGAGGTGGTCAAGAACTCTCAGTGTCTGGGATGGTGGTGGTGGCGGTGGTGATGATGGTGGTGGCGGTGTGGCGGCGGCGGTGGTGGCGGTGATGGTGGCGGTGATGGTGGTGGTGGTGACGGTGGTGGTGATGATGATGGTGGTGGCGGTGGTGATGATGATGGTGGTGGTGGCGGTGATGGTGGTGGTGATGATGATGATGGTGGTGGTGGCGGGTGGCGGTGACGATGGTGGTGGGTGGTCGGTGGTGGTGACGGTGGTGACGGTGGTGGTGATGGTGGTGGTGGCGGTGGTGGCGGTGGTGGCGGTGGTGGTGGTGGTGGCGGTGGTGGTGACGGTGGTGGTGGTGACAGGTGACGGTGGTGTGGTGGCGGTGGTGGTGGCAGTGGTGGTGGCGGTGGTGCTGGTGGCGGTGGTGATGGTGGTGGTGATGATGATGATGGTGGTGGTGGCGGGTGGTGGTGGCCGGTGGTGGTGGTGGTGATGGTGGTGACGGTGGTGGCGGTGGGTGGTGATGATGATGGTGGTGGTGGCGGTGGTGTTGGTGGTGGTGGTGTTAGTGTTGGTGGTGGTGTTGGTGATGATGATGGTGATGGTGGTGGCGGTGGTGTTGGTGGTGGTGGTGTTAGTGTTGGTGGTGGTGTTGGTGTTGGTGGTGGTGGTGTTAGTGTTGGTGGTGATGGTGGCTGTGGTGATGATGATGGTGGTGGTGGCGGTGGTGTTGGTGGTGGTGTTGGTGGTGGTGGTGGCGATGGTGTTGGTGTTGGTGGTGTTAGTGTTGGTGGCTACCTGCACTCGGCAGAGACGGCATCTCTCTCAGGCACCAGGCTCGGGGAGCTCCCTCCTTGCTCGTCCGCTGGGGAACGAGAACATCGCGCAGAGTGCGGAGAGAACTCACGAGGCACGTGAGTGCGGAGCAAACTCCAAATACACACCAGCAGCAGCAGCAGCAGGCGTCGTCAGGGTCGTGATCGAACCCACGACCTCCCGTGTACCAGGCGAGGCAGTCAACATCTCATAGCCACCACAACGCCACCACAACACTCACCGTCAACATCTCATAGCCACCACAACGCTCACCGGCAACATCTCATAGCCACCACAACGCCACCACAACACTCACCGTCAACATCTCATAGCCACCACAACGCTCACCGGCAACATCTCATAGCCACCACAACGCCACCACAACACTCACCGTCAACATCTCATAGCCACCACAACGCTCACCGGCAACATCTCATAGCCACCACAACGCCACCGCAACGCTCACCGTCAACATCTCATAGCCACCACAACGTCACCACAACGCCACCACAACGCTCACCGTCAACATCTCATAGCCACCACAACGCCACCACAACGCCTCTACCCGTCAACATCTCATAGCCACCACAACGTCACCACAACGCCACCACAACGCTCACCGTCAACATCTCATAGCCACCACAACACTCACCGCCACGTTTGCCGGCACTCCGGTTGCCCCACGTGGTGCACACCACGAAGGGGAGGATCGCCAGCACCGCTATGGCCGCCATCAAGCTGATGGAGGCGCTGCCGCCACCGGCGGGAGAGCGTCGCCTCGTCTCCCGTAGACACCGCGGACGAGGGTCGGGAGGAGCGGGAGGTGGCGGCGGTGGTGGCGGCTACGGGATTGGGGACACACGCGGGGAGATACGGTGAGACGCGGGGAGACAGATAAAGACAGAGAGAGACAGACACAGACAGAGAAACAGAGAGAGACAGGGAGACACAGACAGAGAGACACAGTGAGACAGATACAGACAGAGAGACAGAGAGAGAGACAGGGAGACACAGACAGAGAGACACAGTGAGACAGATACAGACAGAGAGACAGAGAGAGAGACAGGGAGACACAGGACAGAGAGACACAGTGAGACAGATACAGACAGAGAGACAGAGAAAGACAGAGAGACACAGACAGAGAGACACAGTGAGACAGATACAGACAGAGAGACAGAGAGAGAGACAGGGAGACACAGACAGAGAGACACAGCGAGACAGATACAGACAGAGAGACAGGGAGACACAGACAGAGAGACACAGTGAGACAGATACAGACAGAGAAACAGAGAGACAGGGAGACACAGACAGAGTGGGATGCTGATCAGTGTTGTTGTATGAGGTTAGTGATGAGGTTTTGGTCTTCATCACTTTTCTGTGTCTGTCTTGTGTGTGTCTCTGTGTGTCTGTGTTTGTCTGTGTGTGGCAGTGTCTGTCCGTGTGTGTCTGTGTGTGTCTGTGGCTGTCTGTTTGTCTGTGTGTGTGGCCTGGCACAAGCGTCGTGGTGATGTCACCACCACTTAGTGGCAAATGGCGGTTGTTGTTGTCTGTGTGTGGCTGTGTGTGTCTGTCTGTGTCTGTGTGTCTGTCTGTGTGTGTCTGTCTGTGTCTGTGTGTCTGTCTGTGTGTACCGTTCCGGCCTTCATAGGTGCTCGCTAACAGCACTTGCCCCTACAGTCTGTTAAGGCTATACGGGGGATCTTTATCTGCCTGTGTCTGTCTGTGTGTGTCTGTCTATGTGTGTCTGTGTGTCTATTCAACATCGCCTTGCCAGGCACACTGAGGAGAGGCTTGCGTAGCCCAAATGTGGTTTCAGGAAAGGGCGGTCCTGCACAGATGCCATATTTTCTGTCCGTCTGCTACAGCAGAGTGGAGGGAATTCCAACAAGACCTACATCTCTGCCTTTATTGACCTGGTCAAGGCCTATGATACCATCAGTAGGCCTGGGCTCTGGGTCATTGTTCGTGCTTTTGCAGTCCCTGACCCTCTGCTCACGATTATTAAGGACCTTCGTGATGGTGAGCGGGGCCCGGGTAAACTACGTGGCTGGGAGTCAGAGCCATTCCCTTTTTACCTTGGGGTGCAACAGAGATGTCCTCTAGCTCCCACATTATTGAACATCTATTTTGACCACGTAGTTCGTGAAGCCTTCGATGGCTGTACCAGAGGAATTTCCATCTGGTACAGATACAATGGGAGGCTGATTGATGCCAGGTGCGGTCAAGGGATAGCTCCCTATTGCTCAACCATGTTATGTATGCCGATGATCTAGTAATTGCTGCTCACTCAGAGGAGGATTTGGAGGCGCTGCTGCTGAGACTGGAGCGTGCCACTAAGAGGTGGGGCCTTACCATCAGACCCACCAAAACTAAGCACCTGCCTGGGTATTTTGTACCATTGGACACTCCACCCCCACAACTCCCATTTGGTGATGGGGCAGTTGTGGAGAGAGTGGAGAGTTTCCCATACCTGGGCAGTGTGATCATGGCCGGCTCGGTTTAACAGCAGAGGTCTCACTCCGAATCAGTCAAGCGGCAATATCTTTCATTGGTTGTGTAACGGTGTGTGGAAGCTACCTGGTCTGTTGCTCTGCACGAAGCTTCAGATCTTCTCGGCCACAATCATTCCCTCCCTTCTCTACGCTTGCGAAAAGTGGACCCCCCTAATGGAACATATTCGCCGCTTAAAAACATTAAGGCTGGCCTGCCTACGATCCATCCTGGGTTTAACCAGGCTGGATTGTGTGAGGAGCTCATAACTCCCAGAAAGATCTGGACAAAGTCCCATCGGTGAGCTCCTCCGCCAGGCAAGGCTGCGTTGGCTGGGTCATTTGAGGCTGAGTCGACCTAGGGGAGGCCGGGACCGGTTCAGATAATCGTCACTGGTGTTGGCCCGTGAGCGGGAATCGAACTCGTGTCGCCGGGTTCATAGCGCAGTGCGCTAACCGCTGCACACTACCGCTCCCCACCCTCACTCCCACACCCACTCACTCACTCACCCACCACCCACTCACCCACCCACCACCCACCCACTCACCCACCCACCACTCACACACCCACTCACTCATACACTCACCCACCCACCCACTCACCCATCCACTCACCCACCCACCCACCCACTCACCCACTCACTGACACACTCACCCACCCACTCACCCACCCCACTCACCCACTCACTGACACACTCACCCACCCACTCACTCAACCACCCACCCACTCACCCACCCACTCACCCACCCACCCACTCACCACCCACCCACCCACCCACTCACCCACTCACCCACGGCGCTGGTGGTGGAGGGACGGAGACACACGACAGGGGAGACCACTCCCCTGTCTTCCACCGCGGGTAGTTGACTACGACTCTCACGCGGACGCAGTACTCAGCGGCGCCTGCAGGCTGAGGCAGCGCGTGGCGGTAGCGACATCCCACAAAGCGCTCCTGGCAGGAGCAAGCAGATGGTCTCAGTGTGCTGCGTTACGTGGATGACACGTCGGTGGTCTGGCCACACAGCAAAGATACACTGAGCGCGTTTCTAAATCATCTCAACTCGCAAAACCCATCCATCCAACACACACATGTACATTGGCCACGTTCTGTTTACGTGACAACCCTCACGAGTTGGCTGTGTCGGGTGGTCGCGGGTTTTAACGACACATCATTTATATATTTACGTGATCTAACCCAAAAACCTCTTTTGGATGATATTGGTCGCGAAGCCTGCTACGTGTTAACCTGAGTATCATCATCAACAGTAGTAGCAGCAGCAGCAGCAATAGCATCATCAGTAGTAGCAGCAGCAGCAGCAATAGCATCATCAGTAGTAGCAGCAGCAGCAATAGCATCATCAGTAGTAGCAGCAGCAGCAATAGCATCATCATCAGTAGTAGCAGCAGCAGCAATAGCATCATCATCAGTAGTAGTAGCATCACCACCCCACCCACTCAACCACCCACTCAACCACCCACTCAACCACCTACTCAACCGCCCACCCACTCACTCACCCACCCACCCACTCACTCACCCACCCCACTCACCCACCCACTCACCCACCCACCCACTCACCCACCCACCCACCCACTCACCCACCCACCCACTCACCCACCCACCCACCCACTCACTCACTCACTCACCCACCCACCCACCCACCCACCCACCCACCCCACCCTCCCACTCACTCACTCACTCACCCACCCACCCACTCACTCACTCACCCACCCACTCACTCACACCCACTCCCTCACACCCACTCCATTCACCCACCCACTCACCCACTGACTCACCCACTCACCCACCCACCCACTCACTCACCCACTCACACACCCACCCACCCACTCAAACACCCATCCACTCACTCACCCACCAACCCACCCACCTACCCACTCACCCACCCACCTAACCACCACCCACTCACCCACCCAACCACCACTCACCCACTCACCCACCCACCCACTCATCCACCCACTCACTCACCCACCCACTCACTCACCCACCCACCCACCCACTCACCCACCCACCCACCCACTCACCCACTCACTCACCCACTCACCCACCCACCCACCCACTCACCCACTCACCCACCCACCCACTCACTCACTCACTCACCCACCCACCCACTCACCCACCCACCCACTCACCCACCCACTCACTCACCACTCATTCACCCACTCACCCACCCACTCACTCACCACTCATTCACCCACCCACCCACTCACTCACCACTCACTCACCCACCCCCACCCACTCACCCACCCACCCACTCACCCACCCACTCACTCACCACTCATTCACCCACTCTCACCGTGCTAGTGACACCCCTCCTTGTGGAGACCTCGGCTTGCAGATGGTAGTGCACGTCACTCTGCGCCATCCTCATCCTCCACTCGCTGCTCATGGAGACCCGCACGGACAGCTCCCACGCCTTCCGCTTCTCCCTCATTGTCGTCGTCATCACCCGTCACCACCATCACCGCCATCATCATCATCACCGTCACCGCCATCACCGCCATCATTCATCATCATCATCAGCGTCACCGCCTATCACCGTCACTGCCATCACCGCCCACGCCATCACCGTCGGCCCCATCACCGCCATCACTGTCACCGCCATCACCCTCATCGTCGTCATCAGCGTCGCCACCATCACCGTCACCGCCATCACCCTCATCATCATCCATCATCGTAGTTATCACCGTCACCCGCCATCACCGTCGGCCCCATCACCGTCGCCACTATCATCCTCATCATCACCCTCATCATCATCATCACCCTCATCATCATCATCACCCTCATCATCCTCATCATCATCATCACACCTCATCATCATCATCGTAGTCATCATCGTCGTAGCCATCGTCGTCATCATCTTCGTAGTCCTCACCCTCCTCACCACCACACTCCTCCCCCTCCTCACCACCCTCCCCCTCATCATCACCCCCCTCCTCCTCCAGCGTCATGTTCTTGTGCAGCATCAAGGTGACAGTCGGAGCACTCAGCACGGCTGAGACACGGGGGGGGGGGGGGGGGGGAGAGTCACGGGTGGGGAGGGGTGAGGGAGATGACGTCATCTTCCCCTCGTCTGGTGAGATGACGTCATCTCACTCACCTGGTGAGGAGATGACGTCATCTCACTCACCCCCCCTAGCCCTGAACAGACTGTTGGTGCCAGA